GTTTCGTTTCGTTACGTTTCGTTACGTTACGTTTCGTTACGTTTCGTTACGTTTCGTTACGTTTCGTTACGTTTCGTTACGTTTCGTTACGTTACGTTTCGTTACGTTTCGTTACGTTTCGTTACGTTTCGTTACGTTTCGTTACGTTTCGTTACGTTTCGTTACGTTTCGTTACGTTTCGTTACGTTTCGTTACGTTTCGTTACGTTTCGTTACGTTTCGTTACGTTTCGTTACGTTTCGTTACGTTTCGTTACGTTTCGTTACGTTTCGTTACGTTTCGTTACGTTTCGTTACGTTTCGTTACGTTTCGTTACGTTTCGTTACGTTTCGTTACGTTTCGTTACGTTTCGTTACGTTTCGTTACGTTTCGTTACGTTTCGTTACGTTTCGTTACGTTTCGTTACGTTTCGTTACGTTTCGTTACGTTTCGTCACGTTTCGTCACGTTTCGTCACGTTTCGTCACGTTTCGTCACGTTTCGTCACGTTTCGTCACGTTTCGTCACGTTTCGTCACGTTTCGATACATTTCGTTACGTTTCGTTTCGTGGACAAAAGGACCTAAGTCTCGGTGGCATGTCACCAGGTGCAAAATGGTCAAAAGGATCTTAGGTAGACAAACGGATAGACAGACACAAATACAGATAAAAGGACAGGCAGACGGAAAGAGGAGACAAATATACGGTAAAGGATAAAATCATAAAAATTCGTATCTATCTATCGCTAAGTAAGTAAACAATGTCAAATGTCAAAATGCTAGGAAGGGGGAAACCAAAAAGGTATAAACTTTGGAGGAAAAAATACTAAGAAATCATACAGAGAGCAGTGAAGACCTAAGATGATGTAGAAGCCAGTACAGGCCTAAGACGAAGAACAAAAAACTACTGAAGAAGAAGAAAAGGAAGAGTGAAACGTTAAAAGGGTGATATTTGTAGAAATTCATAGAAAAAAGAATGGAAAATCATGGAAATCTTTAAAGAATACACGGTGCTGCATTACCAAAGGGGCCATAGTTGGTTAGTACAGAAAATGTAATAACCAAGGAGACATTACTTTTCTGGATCTCTGAATACGGGAAGGTAGCAGTCAAAAGTTCAGTATTTGAGAAAGAAAAACGCATAGGTATTGTTCGTATTGTAGTCATACATCATCGTCGTTTCCTTATTACTTACAAGTACAATAAAAATACTATACGTTTATTGTCGATGGTAAAAAGGTAACAAAATACTCTTCGTCCATTATCGTATGTAAACCTGCGCAGTACGTTATTGTCGTGTCATCGTCTTAATCTTTATTAAAAATAAATACAACAATTACAATATACCATCTTCGTTTGTACTCGATTATTTTCGCATTTAAGATTTTCAACCTGGAAAATCATCAATAAAACATTTATTATTACCTTCTCTTTTTTTCAAGCTATCAACCTAAAAAATCGCAGCTATCCAACCATTGTCATCTCTACAGGTTTTTGTATGTCTATTCAATATTCTTTTTAACCTAAAAATATGGCATCTGTCATCTGTCACTATTAAAAAACGTTTGTACTCACATTTTTCCGTATATTATTGTTCAGTTTCAGTATTTTTTGCATCATCTTCTGTCTCGTATGACTCGTTAAATCCAATAAAAAGGCCTCATTCATTTTCAGAAAGTAATTATCGATTGCTTTTATATTTAGCATTTCTATCCTAAAAATATGACGTCAGGCATCCATCAGTATTAAAAACGTTTGTACTCACTTTTTCCGTATATATTTTATTGTTTAATTTCGGTTTTACATCTTCTATCTTAAAAATTATGGCATCTGTCAATAAAAATCCAATAAAAAAGGTCCCATTCTTAGACAGCACCTCTATACCGAAGGTATTTCTTAATTAGAAAGCAATTATCGATTGCTTTTATATTTAGCATTTCTATCCTAAAAATATGTCATCTGTTATCCGTCACTATTAAAAACGTTTGTACTCACTTTTCCTTCATTATTGACATTTTATTGTTTAGTTTTTCGTACATATTTTTGCATCATCTTCTGTCTCGTATGACTCGTTAAATCCAGTAAAAAAACCCCATTCATTTTCAGAAAGTAATTATTGATTGCTTTTATATTTAGCATTTCTATACATTTATGCCCTAAAAAATATGACATCTGTCATCTGTCACTATTAAAAAACGTTTGAACTCACTTTTTCCGTATATTATTATTTAGTTTCAGTATTTTTGCCTCATCTTCTGTCTTGTATGACTCGTTAAATCCAATAAAAAGGCCTCATTCATTGTAGAAAGTAATTATCGATTGTTTTTATATTTAGCATTTCTACCCTGAAAATATGACATCTGTCATTAAATCCAATAATAAAAATATGATATCTGTCATTAAATCGAATAAAAAAGTACTACTTACATTTTGTCCTAAAAATATGACATCATGACATCTGTAGCTAAATCCGCTTAATATCATCAACAATATGCTAATTTCTACAGAATTATCTTATTACTTCCATTTATTTTTTGGTTTGTTTTCCATTACAACCTATTTTCAACCTAAAAGCAATATATCTGTCATTAAATCCATTAGTATTAAAACTTTTGTACTCACACACATTTTCGTTTTCTGTTTTTAAAAGATTTCTATATAATAATTATCGCTGAGACGTTGTTCGAAGCAATATTATCATTTCTTGCGGTTACATATCCTGTAAAAACTCAACATATTGTTAGATATCTATGATGTATTATACGACAAAAATATATATACAGGGAAATATCTATCTAAAAGTATACACAGTGTAATAACAAAATTAATTATAAAGGCTACCGAAAATGTTTTAAATACATACGTTTTGAAAACATCAAAAATAAGAAAAAGAAAAGAAAATATCTATAGGCAATCTGTAGACAGATATCAATACCAATGCTAATAAATGTAAGTTTTCAATCAACAAACTCTTATTTACTTTTTGTACGACTAATTCTAATGTTAGATTTCATTCAAAGTACAACAAGTATAATTTTCTACGGTCAAAGCTAAGTTTTCATTCAACAAGCTCATGCAATATGAAGAGTATGAAGGACTTATACGAGAATATTTATAACAAAACATAGAGCTTAAATCATATAAAATGACAGATGCATCTTCAAGTATCATTGTCAAAAAAAAGTTTATATTTACTAGAACATTTTTCGCAGGAAGTCACTAACGTAAAACAGAATCCTTCCTGATATAAAATCATATCAAAACATTAAGTTAAAAGATAAGTTTTGGTAAAGCAGCATTCTGCAAATATTAATGTCGTCAAAATTTATATTAGCAGAAGTTTTTATAGAAATTGGAATAATAAAACTAGGGTTTAGAGCAATATTTTCTACATTCGACTGTTCCTTTAAGGTATCTTGCAACATTGTTCGTTCATAAATGATTTCAAACGGCAAAAATCGTCGAAAAAACGCCGAAAAACGCCAAAAATGGCAAAAACGTAAGGTGTATGCTTCTACAAGTAGAAATCACATCAGCGTCGTTCGTTTTCGTTCATTATCATATCGTAGTTACCATTGTTTGGATATTTAAACAAAGATATATCTGAAGACGAGCTGAAGATATAATCAGGTGAAAAGGTTTAGAAAATTTAATAAGCAGTTGATACAGAATAATATCGTTTTCTGTTAAACTCTAAAGCATGAGCTCTATAAATTCTATTATATTTTAAAAAATAGTACGCAGGAATAATAAATATAAAAAAGGATATTAATGTTATCAAGAAAGTTAATGCCTTACGTTATTTAAGAAAAGCGTAAAGACGTTAAATCTGGTTAATATGCATAAACAAAAACCAAAATAAAATACGAGGGCCTCTCTCTACATACTCAACGCATTTGAATATTTGTAAATCAGAATTATAATACCTACATTACAAAAGTATATGTCTAAATCCATATCTTTATCGCTATTGGACCGATTCAAACGAAACAAACGGCTCAGGTGTAGGAGGAGCAACATAGATTAACGTTGAAGACAAAAATTATGTGCAAAGTTAGAAGGTCCTAAGCATCGGCTATTATCGGATAGAATTAAACAGGAAAAAATTACATTGTAACGAAAACGCGACGTAAATTAACGCTGAAGAGAAAAATTAGGCGCAATAGCAATAATACCAAAAGTCCATATGGCAAATAAATACTTAACCAATGAACCTGGCAATAATAAATCTTGATATAAAAAGCTGGCATACTATTTGACAACGGCAGGCATTTGATTGGACTCGAATTATCTTCTTAGTTCCTCGTTTGTTTATTCTATAACTTAAAAAACAATCAATGACTTAGAAAGGTACTAAACAAATTTCTTTTGTTACAACTGTCATTCGGTGTTAAACACCGCTCACCTTTATTAGTATTGATCATATTTGTACTAAATTTAAACTGGCATTACGTCATTCATTGTATCTTTTTGGTATTTTTGGAATTATGACTCATATTCTAGCGAATTCTAAAGTAGAGAACAAAAGGACTTAGGTGTGTATCACGTGGGCCGATTCAAACGGAAAAACGAGGGAGGGAAAGAAATTACCGATGAAGAGAAAAATTACGCGCAGTGACCTACGTCTATTATTGATTATCGAGATGTCTAGCGAAGAGAATAAACGTAGAACTGAAGAGTTTATAGAAAAAGTTCGAAAACTTAGAAGAGATATAAGATTTTACTAAGATAAAATTTTTTTTTGTAAACTATCTAATAGTAACTAACTGTATTTAATGAATGATGAAATAACTTTTAATAATAGAGTTTATTTGTAGATTATTTGGAGCAAATGTATGATTAAAGGAAAATTATAGCAATATCATTAAGAGGACGTTGCTGAAACACTATTACAGGTAAAGCTAAAATAATTATAATATTTTGTTAAATTATTAGTGGAAAATAAAACGATATATTATTTATAAAGATTTATTAACAATTAATAAACATTGTATTGTAAACAATAAAAATATTCCTTATATTTCTAGAATTAACAATATGAAATAATAGTAAATTCCAGTGGGTGGATCCACATTAACATTATTGATCAAATAATAACTTCTGGACAGAGAATGATTAGTCCCAGGAAATAAGTAACGTTAGCCATCTAACAACTTTATATGTTTCGTTAAAAAGAGGCCATTATCATAGTTACGTTTAGATTGTAACTACCCGGTGCTAGAATGGGTTGATGATACTTTTTTGGGGATCGTTGGCTGGTTTAAATGTACTTAACAGGTATACGTTCTATACTTAATTCGCTTTTTCTAAATTCGGAAACTGCTTGGTAGTCGTAGAAAACTGCTTCAGCTTTATGTTTAACGGCATCACATGCATGTTTTTTAACTTTATAAGATGATAATCACATGGATATATTATGATCCAAGTTGACGCGAAAATTTGTTAATATTAACCCCCAAATTTATCACCTTCTTCAACGCCCAGCCGCTGTCACGTTCCTGAAATTCTTCGAGCTCATTTAATATGGGAGCAGTAACTTTCTCATCAAACCAAACATTTAGGTTCGTGTCTCTATAAATAGCAGAATTGGATGTTGTGAAGTACTTGTACTCATTAAGTACACTATCACCCTTCACCACCTCGAATTCTCCACAGAAACTCATATTAACTTTAAACGCATCATCCTTCTTCAATGCAGTCTGGATCCTCCGCTTAAATAAAACCTTAGCATCAGCCAGGAAAGCTTTCGGATCAGTATGTTTTAAATTGGAGATAACCGCAGTGCGGATGCGGCCTTTAAAAGCAGACTTGGAGTCATCCCAGCGGACACGTTCTCGGGCCCCCTCTGCTCGCGATGAAACCCCTGCTCCCATCTTCTGCGACGCCTTGATTTGATTACGTATGGTCCTAATGTTACGCATGCAAGCTTCAATATGCTGCTTCTCTCCAAGCGAAGTAGCATACCTCATTGCATCATATAATTTTTTCATGCCCTTCTGGCATTCCCGAAGCCCCTCCCGGGCTACCGCTTCATCATAACTCGCGGTTAGCAGGCCGAGAAAACCAGCAATATGTCGAATCAAATCCGCAGAGAGTGACATCGTTCTGCAATAAAAAAACCTTATTAAATTTATATAGATTATATGATTGTAGGAATTAATCAGGTGGTAGTTATTGGAATTACGCACCCTTAAACTTAGGAAAGAGTAGATAATAATGCGTTCACTCAAGAAATCGGTACTAAAAACGTATATAGCTGCATTTGAATTTGAGTACCAGCACTTTGAAAATGGTCACAATACATGCCCAAGTGGTTATGTATATAGTACGCGGTGATCGGTGCCTCCATCTACAAACGTGCGACGGAACCCGCCTCGACTGGATTCGGTCTGCGATGTATGTTAGGTTGTCATGGGATTGTAGCAAATAAAATAAATTTACGATTCTTAAAGTCTGCTGATCAGATAAGCTGAGTCACAAAAAGATTAGAAACCAAATGAGTGTGATCTGATATTGTAAACTTCTACTTGGACGAAAAACTAAATGGTTAAATATTTTTTTTTTTTTGCAAACAGAAAGACCCTTTAAAGTAGTTTGTGCGTTTTTCACCGTAAGAAAACACGTAAAAGTTGTGCTTATTTAGACGTTAGGATGGGGACTTCTTTAATAGAATTTGTTACCAGAAGTACGGTTTTTCTAACAACAATAATCAATTTTAATACTTATTATCGTTGAAATATAAAATTTATTAACTCAAAATTTATCAAAAATTACTAACGCAAAACTTTCAAAATCTCAAAATTTTCAAAAAATGATTAAAACTCAGATTTAGTTAACACCTTAGTAGCATAAATTATTCAATAGGAATTGAAGAATGTATACTTACATGTAAAAGTAACCAATATTACAAATGTTGTAGATTAGAGGTAGGATGCGCTCTAATATTTTAAAAATCAGAAAATGTATATTTCAAAAGTTGTAGATGCTAGATACTTTCTAATACTTTAATAATCTGAAACAGAATGACAAAAGTTAATAATAAACTGCTGGTCGGACGGAAGACTGAACGGTTTAAAAAGTTTTTAAGAAGGCCTCTGAATTTATCAAATTTGTGCGTTATTCACCATAAGAAACCGTGTAAAAATGGAACATTTTAACCCAAATCGACAATTTTAATACTTTAAGATATTAAAAAGCTCTCCGAATTTTTGTTTGATAATTTTTATCAAAAAGGCTATAATTTTATTAAATTAGTGTATTTTTATAAGAAACTATATAAAATTGGTGCATTTTAACCCAAACCAACAATTATGATACTTTTTGTTAAAGAACTCATTTATACCGAATAAATTTTAAGTATTTGTTAATGTAGTTAGCTAACGCGGTATATCTAAATAAATGTTGAAGAAGTTTTACGTGGTTCTATGCTCCAGTCACGTGGTTTAGTAAAGAGTCACCTTCAGTACACATGCGTAGTGGCAATGATTAGCAATTAGGATGGTCTTATAGCCATGCGATAAGCGTTCACGTGAACGAAGGTTAGGTTAGGGTATGCACACTCGACGTTTCGAATTTCGCTTCGTTACGTTTCGTTACGGTTCGTTACGTTTCGTTACGTTTCGTTACGTTTCGTTACGTTTCGTTACGTTTCGTTACGTTTCGTTACGTTTCGTTACGTTTCGTTACGTTTCGTTACGTTTCGTTACGTTTCGTTACGTTTCGTTACGTTTCGTTACGTTTCGTTACGTTTCGTTACGTTTCGTTACGTTTCGTTACGTTTCGTTACGTTTCGTTACGTTTCGTTACGTTTCGTTACGTTTCGTTACGTTTCGTTACGTTTCGTTACGTTTCGTTACGTTTCGTTACGTTTCGTTACGTTTCGTTACGTTTCGTTACGTTTCGTTACGTTTCGTTACGTTTCGTTACGTTTCGTTACGTTTCGTTACGTTTCGTTACGTTTCGTTACGTTTCGTTACGTTTCGTTACGTTTCGTTACGTTTCGTTACGTTTCGTTACGTTTCGTTACGTTTCGTTACGTTTCGTTACGTTTCGTTACGTTTCGTTACGTTTCGTTACGTTTCGTTACGTTTCGTTACGTTTCGTTACGTTTCGTTACGTTTCGTTACGTTTCGTTACGTTTCGTTACGTTTCGTTACGTTTCGTTACGTTTCGTTACGTTTCGTTACGTTTCGTTACGTTTCGTTACGTTTCGTTACGTTTCGTTACGTTTCGTTACGTTTCGTTACGTTTCGTTACGTTTCGTTACGTTTCGTTACGTTTCGTTACGTTTCGTTACGTTTCGTTACGTTTCGTTACGTTTCGTTACGTTTCGTTACGTTTCGTTACGTTTCGTTACGTTTCGTTACGTTTCGTTACGTTTCGTTACGTTTCGTTACGTTTCGTTACGTTTCGTTACGTTTCGTTACGTTTCGTTACGTTTCGTTACGTTTCGTTACGTTTCGTTACGTTTCGTTACGTTTCGTTACGTTTCGTTACGTTTCGTTACGTTTCGTTACGTTTCGTTACGTTTCGTTACGTTTCGTTACGTTTCGTTACGTTTCGTTACGTTTCGTTACGTTTCGTTACGTTTCGTTACGTTTCGTTACGTTTCGTTACGTTTCGTTACGTTTCGTTACGTTTCGTTACGTTTCGTTACGTTTCGTTACGTTTCGTTACGTTTCGTTACGTTTCGTTACGTTTCGTTACGTTTCGTTACGTTTCGTTACGTTTCGTTACGTTTCGTTACGTTTCGTTACGTTTCGTTACGTTTCGTTACGTTTCGTTACGTTTCGTTACGTTTCGTTACGTTTCGTTACGTTTCGTTACGTTTCGTTACGTTTCGTTACGTTTCGTTACGTTTCGTTACGTTTCGTTACGTTTCGTTACGTTTCGTTACGTTTCGTTACGTTTCGTTACGTTTCGTTACGTTTCGTTACGTTTCGTTACGTTTCGTTACGTTTCGTTACGTTTCGTTACGTTTCGTTACGTTTCGTTACGTTTCGTTACGTTTCGTTACGTTTCGTTACGTTTCGTTACGTTTCGTTACGTTTCGTTACGTTTCGTTACGTTTCGTTACGTTTCGTTACGTTTCGTTACGTTTCGTTACGTTTCGTTACGTTTCGTTACGTTTCGTTACGTTTCGTTACGTTTCGTTACGTTTCGTTACGTTTCGTTACGTTTCGTTACGTTTCGTTACGTTTCGTTACGTTTCGTTACGTTTCGTTACGTTTCGTTACGTTTCGTTACGTTTCGTTACGTTTCGTTACGTTTCGTTACGTTTCGTTACGTTTCGTTACGTTTCGTTACGTTTCGTTACGTTTCGTTACGTTTCGTTACGTTTCGTTACGTCGAGTGTGCATACCCTAACATAACCTTCGCTCGCGTTAACGCTTATCGCATGGCTATAAGACCATCCTAAATGCTAATCATTGCCACTACGCATGTGTACTGAAGGTAGCAGCCAAGAATGATTTTGAGAAAAATTTTATCATACTTTATTATATACTAACCCACGTGACTCTTTACTAAACCACGTGACTGGAGCATAGAATCACGTAAAACTTCTTCAACATTTATTTAGATATACCGCGTTAGCTAACTACATTAACAAATACTTAAAATTTATTCGGTATAAATGAGTTCTTTAACAAAAAGTATCATAATTGTTGGTTTGGGTTAAAATGCACCAATTTTATATAGTTTCTTATAAAAATACACTAATTTAATAAAATTATAGCCTTTTTGATAAAAATTATCAAACAAAAATTCGGAGAGCTTTTTAATATCTTAAAGTATTAAAATTGTCGATTTGGGTTAAAATGTTCCATTTTTACACGGTTTCTTATGGTGAATAACGCACAAATTTGATAAATTCAGAGGCCTTCTTAAAAACTTTTTAAACCGTTCAGTCTTCCGTCCGACCAGCAGTTTATTATTAACTTTTGTCATTCTGTTTCAGATTATTAAAGTATTAGAAAGTATCTAGCATCTACAACTTTTGAAATATACATTTTCTGATTTTTAAAATATTAGAGCGCATCCTACCTCTAATCTACAACATTTGTAATATTGGTTACTTTTACATGTAAGTATACATTCTTCAATTCCTATTGAATAATTTATGCTACTAAGGTGTTAACTAAATCTGAGTTTTAATCATTTTTTGAAAATTTTGAGATTTTGAAAGTTTTGCGTTAGTAATTTTTGATAAATTTTGAGTTAATAAATTTTATATTTCAACGATAATAAGTATTAAAATTGATTATTGTTGTTAGAAA